CGTCAGCTGATCCCATGTGTACACACGTCAACTAACCCCATGTGTACACACGTCAACTAACCCCATGTGTACACGCGACAGCTGACCGCACGTATACACACGTTACCTAACTTAACCTAACCCCATGTGTACACACGTCAACTAACCCCATGTGAACACACGTCAACTGACCCCATGTGTAGAAGCCTAAGTTGACCACGGGTGTAAAAACTTGACCCAAGTGAAGATCCCCCCCCCCCCCCAACATATAATGTTTTTTTTAAAAATCAAGTTTTACACCCCGTGATGTAAGTGTAATCGTGTAGCTCAAACTTACCATAAGTCACATCTATAAAACTTGACAACAGAACTAACACAAGGATTGTCGTCTTCATCGTAAGCTCGTTAGGATATGTCTACACGAAGAATGTGTTGTTAAGAAATATATTGTCAGCAGGCTTCATACAACATAAACTAGAAGAGCAGAATAAACTTAATTCATTATTTAAAATTTATGTGTAAGCCTCTCTATATCCAAAAAAAGTCTACCGCCCCCCACCCCCTCCCCCCCCCCCCCCCCCGAACGAAATGAAATTTATATAGAAAATATATACTTTTAACAGTGTCCGACCCCCCGGGAGAAAAAAAATCAGGAAGAAACACTGAGAGACGCCTGGAAGGCTCTTGTCGGCGGCCTTTGTCACATGAGGGGGACAGGCAAACCTAATCTAACCTATTTAATGAGTTGTTCTTTTTTTTCCCGATAAAAATGCGGCACATTATTATTAAATTTATAAATGGTACTCTAGTCTAGTATAACACATTTGACTACCGGCTACTCTGATATTTTTACAAAATGCAGTAGACCTAAGTAATCCAACATTTATTATTAGACATTGCTTGGGTGAACATTGAAAATATTTTTAAAAAATTTAGGCCTAGACTAGATCTAGATTCTAGATCTAGATCTAGTCTAGGCCTAAATTTTTTAGATTCTAGATCTAGATCTAAATGCTTAAAATAAGCAAACCGTTTTGCCAATTTTTAACATACCCGGTAAATCCATAGAGAGTGTACAAGCGTTTAGAGTTATCCTTTCTTGTTGTTATGAAAAACTGAGTTCCTTTTCCTGGTACTTTCCTAGTCGTAAGTAGATCTAGCTAGATCTTTATCTAGATCTAGAGATCTAGTAACATTAGCCTACATTTTTATAGCCCATAATAAATTTCATATGAACTGTAATTAAGAAGCTTGGCTATGCTGAGTATTAATGTTAAATTAAAATTAGGCTTAGGTAGAAACCGTTAAGTTAGTTAAGTATAAATCAGATTTCAGTTTCGCTTTCGTTTTCACATGGCATGGCTTTCACATGGCTTCGACTTTGCCGACTTTGCTAAGATTTTTTTCTTAGTAGATCTAGATCTAGATATCTAGATCTAGAGATCTAGATCTAGAGATCTATTTCAGATAGATCTAGTCTAGTCATTACAGTAATTTGATCTAGATCTAGTAGAGTTTATTATTTTATTATTATTACTATTATTAGTAGTATCTACTAGATCTATTTAGTATTAGATTAGTCTAGCTAGCCTATTTATTAGTATTAAGAATTAGGTATTTAGTAGTATTTACTATTTAGGGGACTATTTATTAGTATTAGTATTAGTCTATTACTATTACCAACTATTAGAGTTTGCATTATCATCACAGTCTTGAGTCTTTAGATCCTGTTCAATGTTAACTAACTTTTATTGTTAAATTATTTTCAATATTTTGGATAGGTTAGCCGCGACTAGCCTAAATTATTAAAATTAACTAAATTTGGTAGAATTAATTTAATAATTAATTTAGTTAACCTAGGCCTAGAGCCTACATCTGAATATATTTAGTATCATCATGATAGATGTCTGATGATGATAACTGATATTGATACTACTAATACTATTAATACTAATACTAAAATCATGATTATGATGGTATCACTGATATATCATGTTTTAGTCACTAAAACTGTCACTAAAACATGATCATAGTATCAATGTGTAAGGCCTGTCTATCTAGATCTAATGGTATCTCTATACTACTAGACTATCACTATACAGACTACTGATCTAGGGCTATCATGACAACTATACTATATGCCATATACCTATAATTTTAAAATAATAGGGGCCTAAATATAGCCTATAGTATAGTAAGTATCCGATATAATTGGCCTGTAGGCCTTTTAATAGAATAATAAACTCTTACATAGCTGTTTTAGGTTGTTAGAGAATTGTAATCTCATGTCGAGTTTATGGTTAGAAATTTTAGGGTTAGGCATATAGGCCTAGTTACAAGTAGGACTAAATTAGGGATAGCTGGTTAGCATTGATGATTATCAAGTTTAATTATAACATAGCATATACGTTTGTAGTTAGTTAACTACCAATAACCTAAAAATCTCGTTTTAAGAAGATTCTATTATTATTAATGTTCCAATATCTGACACTAGGAATGATAAATAGGGGCCTACCATTATAATAGACCTAGCTGCCCAATAACTTTATGGAACTTTATGACATTATACTTTATGCTAATCTTTGTTCCTAATCTCTGTTGCATATCATAGATTAATGTTGTAATAAATATAAGACCATCAGTTAGGCCCCTACTTGACTTTATTATTTGACTGCATCTATTCGGACTCTGCCACTGCCACTATTAGGACCCTGGTCCGAAATAACTGTTCAGGAATGTATTAATTGACCCTATTTGACGTACAGCCTCCATTACCAAAATATTTGAGTAATTGTCAGATTATCTTATTTATATTTAAAAAAACATATTTGCCAAAATAAGTTACACTATACCATTTCTTTATTTATATTTCAACAGATGAGACCATTTGTTCAAGTTAAAACTATTTCACTCTATGTGGAGCGCTTGGGGGAAGCAACTAAGCTTTTAGAACCTCTCAAAGAGGTAACTTATTAAAGTACTTAATCATGTTCACTTAATTAGATGACTTTTCGTTGACATTTTAAACAGTTTTTTTTTTTCAATGCAAAAAAATTGTAGATATACAATAACTATTAATGTTACAAAATGTCTCATTACCAATAGCAAAAAGTAAAAATTAACCAATTTCTTTTCTGTTAATTTAAACACACAATAGGTAACAGAACGCGGCAAATCATGGCTTGAAGAGACAGAGGAAAATAGTTTAACTTTTATTCAAATGTGCCAGATTTTAGATGAAGTCAGTTCATCATTTGGTCAGAAAATGGCTCATTTCTTAAGTAAGTGTTTGTCTAACATTACTACTATTTGTCTCACTGAATTGTGTAACTAAAAACCTTGGCGGCCATTCTACAGTAGTTGATTCACTAGTATCAGTGTAGTTGTTTAGGTTTGACGTCAGAGTAAGACCAGAACTACAGTTATTGTGAAAGAATCAATTGGTATAATTATTTTTTTTTGTTTTGTTGGTGGGGGGGGGGGAGGTGTATAGACAGAATAATATCCCTAGAGTTTTAAATAGTTGACGTTCAGTTTTAAATTAAAGCTATAATTCAGATGTTCTTAACACACATTCCAACTCGTTCAGACCTAGTAGGCTCCATATGCTCAACACATACACATATTTCCATAACTAGTTATAAAATATAATTATCCAGCTCAAAAGACACAATTTTAAGAAATTATCATGAATCATAGTTGAAGGTTCTAATATATAAGATATGCTTGTTGGGACTTGTTATTAACACACATTTTCTTTCGGTTATTTGTCAATACTATATCTAAATAAAAAATATTGTTTTTAACTTTGTTCATTTTAAAAGTTGTATTTTACAGTCACAAACAAAAGTAAGATACAAAATAAACTTTAGTTAGTTAGGCCAATTCATTTAAAATTATTGTTCTAGGTCAAGATGGAAGTGAACAATGTGTTGATCAGAGATCATGTATTAAAGAAACATCAGCTATAACCTCAGGTACTGAAAAAAGAACATTCTTACTATTTTATAAATCCGAGATTATAGATAAACTACATACATTAGCAATAATTTAATTTAATATCACGGTTTGGATTTGATTTATGCTTTAATTTTTTTATTTTTACCTTTTCAAATTTCAGAAAACTACAACTTACTCTTGAAAAGACTGGAAGAAGCAGAAGAGAGGATTAACTCCCTGTCCCAAGAATCTCTTTTGATGGGAAGTAAAAATAATGAGATGTGCATTGAGATCAAAGACATTGTGACTAAACTAGGTAACAAAAGTAATGAGATAGAAGTTCAATTCGAAACTTTAGCTGAAAAGTATGTTTCCCTGCAACATAATTTACACCAACAAGAAAAAGTGCTAGAGGATGTAAAAGAGACAATTACAAGAACACATAGCATAGAATCGAATAATAGCAAAAAGGTTGAAGAATGTTTGGCGAAAATGTCTGAAACAGCTGAAGTTTTATCTGCAACAAAAATACATGTAAATACATTATCTACACATGTGCAACAGCTGGATTCAAGTCTGAAGATTTATCAACATACAGAAAATACTAGTAATCTCTCTCAAAAAGTTGAAGCATTAACTGAAGTCATGAACAATGCTAATTTTGAAAATAGAAAACTATCTGAGAAAATTAAAGTAGATCAAAAGAAATTAGATTTGCAGGTAATATTTATTTCTTAATATTTATTTTATTTTTGTCAAATGTAGTTATATTTATATCATTACGTAAAGTAAAAAAATAAAGTATAGATTCCTTTTTAGACCCAGTATCCATTGGGCAGATGAAGTAGAGTGCATATTTTTCTTGACTTCATCATATGAAGGGATAATTTGGTTAGCACCATGCCCAGCCTCCTTTAGTTTCCCTAACATTGGTTATGTACCCATAATAGCTGGGTGCTCAGGGATGTTCCACTGACTAAAACACAGATTTGAACTTAAGACTTTCGGGTTTACAGTCTAGGTTTATAAAAATGATAAACAAACTGCCAGTATTTATGTTGTGTATTATTTTTAAACTGTTGATGTATTTCAGTACAAAATATTGTGTCAGACTGACACCCTTGGAGACTTTACAATCTGTTTTTAACACAAAATTAAAAACAAGGGACGAAAACCTAGACCAGGTAAAAATATTATAATAACTATTCGCAATGTTATAGCAATCTTAAGTATGCCTACTTTATTATATAAGCAGTGCTTAAATAATGGCTTTTGAAAACAAAATTAACACTTACTGCTAATAGTAATATAGCAATAGAAAGTAAAGACAGTCGATTGTTTTACCTGACTATTGAAAGGCATAATAGCCTAGATGTTTTATATCATTCCAACACTTTCTTAGTAATTTAATTTATTATCTAAAAACAGGGCCACATTTAGTTGATTTAGTCAGTCAATATATGCTGCTATGGTACACAGAACTTTGACCACATGCTCTGACTATAGGGGCTTTGACCACAGGTGCAATGCCTATAGGGCTTTGACCACAGGTGCAATGCCTATAGGGGCTTTGACCATAGGTGCAATGCCTATAGGGGCTTTGACCATAGGTGCAATGCCTATAGGGGCTTTGACCACAGGTGCAATGCCTATAGGGGCTTTGACCACAGGTGCAATGCCTATAGGGGCTTTGACCACAGGTGCAATGCCTATAGGGGCTTTGACAACAGGTGCTCTGACTAGAGGCTTTGACCACAGGTGCTCTAATTATAGGGGCTTTGACCACAGTTGTTTTGTCTACAGGGGGGGGGGGGTGTGATCAGAGATGCTTTGTCCATACACTGTAAGGATTAACATAAGGGATAAAAAAGTTTTGCCATGATGTAATAATAAGAATGCTGCACATTAAAGTACTATGTGCTGTTTAGACATTTGGTTAAACAAATTTGCGTGCTATCACTTCTTTAAGTATAATTATTGGCATACTTCTTTACCATTTATATCTGGTATGTACTTTGAAGTAGATCATTATTTTTTTACTTGTAGCATTATTTGTGTTTAATTTATGTTAAAAATAAATCTATGAGGCCTAGAACCAGACTAAAATAACTGTAATTGACTATTTTAGTATGAGGGTATTAATCACAAATTACATAAAACTAGTCATATAAAACTGTATTAATTGTATCATGTATTTAAACTTAATAACATCTCATTGTTATTACTATGAAAATTACACTTGGAAAAGCCTAGCTGTGTTCCAAAATCCCACTAAGGTAAAGCAACCTATGTTCAAAATCCCACTGTAGTCAATGCTTCATATCCCCCAGTATAAGAATGAATGCTCTGTCACTCAAAGATTGCATCCAGCATTCTCATAGACCAGTAGACATTATATTATATAGCTGTTGATAGTGTAAGATTACTGATCTTTCACCTTTACAAGTTACATGTCCTTGCAAGCAATGTACAAACACTATTTTATAACACAATGTGGTCTCTAACAATCTATATATATAATTCTCTTCTGGGAGACGCTAGAAAACAAGCTGAAGCGCATCCTTGCAGTCCCCTCTCTTTCTCTCTTTCACTATCACTACCACCCCCACCCCACCCCCACATTGTCTGGTGAGCTGTAGTCAAACTAAATGTTTACAAATCGTAGAGCCGGGTTTATGGACGGCTATTATGGGCAGATAATTTAGTTTGAAACGATTTTAAACTTACAGGAGGTAACAAAGAGGAGGCTGCTTTCACGGGGGGGGGGGGGGGGGGGTAGGGTCGGGGTTAGGGGAAAGGAGGGGGGGGTTAGTGTTTTAAAGCAAATATTTTCAGTGGCAGCATTGGTATTGTCGAATTCACAAATTATGAATTACTGAATAGTAGAAAATAAAACAACTAAATAGCGGCGTATGATATGCCGGGGGTCGGCTCGTAACTTAAATCTACCTTCAGTTTATTTTTCCATAAAGTAATTCATACTGTTATATTATCAATGCAATAAATATTGAATCATTTTAGATCAATAAGCTTACTAGGAAAATTGTGGATTTGGGTAAGTACACTATGCAGTGAATTATAGTGTATACACATTTTTAAAAATACAATTATTTATTTTAAAAATTTAGGGTAACTTCCCCTTATCAATACCATAGAATAAACTAAGAAAAATTTTAAACATTACTAGACTATTTTACACTTATTCACCATAATGTTTTATTCAAGAACAACCTTTAAGTTCCAGTTTTATTTTAATGAAACTGTGTGTTGCATATTTTACTTGGGTTTATTTGTTTTTTTTTTGAAAGTTTATAATTGTCTTTTATTTCATACTCAGAAACTGAACATAGAAGAAGAAGTGGTGCAATTGCTTTTAGTGCTGAACTGAAAGGGTATAAGTATTTCAAAACAGGCAGAGCCATCAAAAAGTATTCCTGTGTTTTTTGTGATGAAGGAAACAATTTTAACCCAGAAACAGGAGAGTTCACAGCACCAGTAGATGGTGTGTATCTGGTTAGTGCAACAGTTGTTGAACTAAATGGCATGTATGTTAATATAGGGGTTTATGTGAAAGCCACAGGGTTTCATGGTGGAGATGAAACCGTAATAGGCGTAACACAAACAAATACAGCCAAAAATTCAGCCTGTTCTGTGAATGTCGCTGACATTAAAGCAGGTGAAAAAGTTTTCTTAAAAATAGATGACATGGACAAAGGGGCTGAATTATCAAGCAGTACCATCTTTACTTGCATCAAATTGTAAATTTAAGTTAACATCAATTTTTAAATGTATGTTGATATCACATTGTAAATTTATGTTGTTATCAAAGTGTTCATTTATTTTGTTATCAAAGTGTTCATTTATGTTGATATATTAAATTTTAAATTTATGTTGTTATCAAAATGTTCATTTATGTTGATATCAAAGTATAAATTGATCTTGATACTCGAGTTTATTTACAGCCAATCATGATCTGCACAAAATACTTCACCATTATAACTTACCACAAATTATTCTATTCAAACTCACACAAGGGCTTACATTCTCTCAGTCTCCATAAGTGTACTCCCCATATTTTTCTATTTACATTACTTTACTTTTTAATGAATTTTTGTCATAGTTAATGTTTAGCCAAATTTGTGGGTAAAATTTAACAACCTAAATATGAATTAATTTTAGCATTTGCTTGATTTGAGCTTTTATTAATTATTGAAAAGTATTTTGATTAATTACCTTGTTCACTTGATGAAGTCTCAAAACTCTTTAAAAAATAATGGATATGGTGCTAATTACACAATTATTTTTTTGTTATTGCTTTCCTTGTTGTCACTAGATCTAATAATTGTTCTTTCTTGTGAGTTTATAAATGTTGCAACAAAATTATTGTTAACTATAATGTGATATGTTATTTAAAGAGAATTGATATAAAATAGCGCAAATATTTATAACTCGTTGATGCATTTTATTTAATGTTGTCTGTTGCCTTGATTTCTTAGTGTTTTAAAATCAATTTCTCTTTCAAAATTGATTTTAGTTGGAAATATTAAAATAAACTTTACTGAACAGTTACAGAACAATGGTTAAAAGGTCTCTTCATTAGCAATGAACTTTTCAAAAATTGTAGCAAAATTTTACTAAAATAAATCATTAATTATTAAAGATTCTGTGTAGTCTACTCCTACTAATCAACTACTCGCTACTTATTGAATGTCTGTCTCACATTCAGCTTGATTGTAAGCAAATTATGACAGTAATTTTCTTAAAAAGTCAGCACTGTATTTATTTTTGTATTAGTAACTTGTCATAGTAAATCAACAATCCTGTAGGAAGTGACAGCTAAATATGTATTATGTATGGTAGGTCAGTCAGCCACAGAAGTTATTGAAATGTGGGTACCTTCTGTAGCAAGTGACAGCTAAATATGTATTATGTATGTTAGGTCAGTCAGCCACACAAGTTATTGAAATGTGGGTACCTTCTGTAGCAAGTGACAGCTAAATATGTATTATGTATGGTAGGACAGTCAGCCAAAGAAGTTATTGAAATGTGGGTACCTTCTGTAGCAAGTGAAGTAGTAAGTCTTCTACCAGCAGGTAGTTTGTGTATGGTCTGGGGGGGGGGGGGGGTTAACTGGTCCCAACCTTTTGGGGTAGAGAAATGTGTGTATGGTCTGGGGGGGGTGTACTGGTCCCATCCGTCAGGGCTAGAGAAATGTGTGTAAGCATGCGAGGACGATTTGATAGTAAAAAAAAAACATCGTAATAATATAGTTACATAATTATCGTTACAAACTAAGAGTTTCCGTGAAAAGCTAAACCATCCACTTCCGAGCTATTTTTGATATCTAGACATTTAAATATTTACATTACACCCATGCCATAAAATCAACTCCTTATCCGCCACGAAGGTTGGATTTAGGGTTATGAATGACATATCCCAATTTCACCCTGTTAAATAAAATCTTAAAGTACATATTTCATATCCTCAATTTTTTGGTTGCGGTGGTTAACATTTTGGCGGTGGGTTATCTGGACAAGATCCAAAATCAAGTCTACAAGTACAGTGGACGTTTCAACCCAACAGTGGGGGCTAAAGACAAATTAAGACAAAAGTAACATAATGTTGATTTTAACTCGCCGTTGGAAATTGATCTTGTCTAATGGCTACGATATTCAGAGAACTGGGAGTGGGGTGGAGGTAGTTGAGAGATGCGTGTTCATTTAAACCTTCCTATGGGTTGCATTACATCGATATTAAATAAATAGGATAGTAATAAGCCTAGCCTATGTGACTGCCATTTTTTAAAGTCATTAGTTAAAACGCATCCTCTACAACATATAATTATCAAAACACACAGTAATATCCCACCACTCGTACTGGACACCAAATGATCCAATTCAAACACCAGCTTCATGTCACAACTTTATTCTTTCTAAATTTTCAAAAAAAAAAAAAAAATCTTTCCGATCACTGGAATTATAAATTCTTGCATAGCCAGCCCCTCCCCCATTCGCATGTGCAGAACTGTAGTCTACCGTTGCTTAGAGGCACACTTCGTGAAGCTCCCGTAGGGTACCCCACACCGTTCCAAATACAGGCGCCTGTAACATAGAGAAGTGGTTAAGGATAACGGTTTACTGATACGCCCTATCGAGGCACAGGGCCATAGGAGGGTTGCCCAAAACCGAGTCAGGTGGAGAGGTGTGATTGCATCCCTTTGCTAAACAGGGGCCATAAACTCTAAAAACTCCCAGAAGTGGCGTCATTAGCAGAGTTTCTTCCAGGCATCTCTTCGAAAAAGAGATGCCCCGAAAAAATTCTAACCCCCCCCCCCCCCCCTTCCGAACGAAATGAAATTTATATAACTTATATAGAATAATAATCATTAAAAAAGTTTTTAAAAACCCACGTTTTCTGATTGAACTAAAAAGTAGAAAATAAATGCTATACATCACAATAATGCAAGCGATCACTCTACTATAAGCGATCAAAAACGTGGGCGCCGAAGTAAAAGTTATATTACTATTGATTAGATAATACTATTGACTTTTATTAGGGAGCTTGTAGAGAGTCAACAGTATTAGAAACTTTAAGAAAATCACGGCGCCCCACGTTTTGATCGCTTATAGTAGAGTGATCGCTTGCATTATTGTGATGTATAGCATTTATTTTCTACTTTTTAGTTCAATCAGAAAACGTGGTTTTTAAAACTTTTTTAATGATTATTATTTTCTACTTTTAGTCTTTGTCTGTTTGTTTGCATTAAAATCTTGCTATGGATTTTATCTTTTCACTTTTTTTTGGGTAAACGAAGACAACTCGTAAAAAGACAACTCGTAAAAAGACAACTCGTAAAAAACACGTTGTGTGAATACGTTACTGACTAGAACACATAGATTTGAACCCGTGTCGAGTGGGATAGCAATCGTGTGCCCAACCACTCGACCATATCGTCTCCCCAAACTGGCCACCAGTGGTAATAGTTACCTTCTTTAAGTTTAAAGTCGGTTAAAACTAAATTATCTGCCCCTAAGCCTGTCGCGAAGTGGGATCGTTCGCTTCACTGCGCGCGGCAAGAGAGAGGCTAGCTACGCGTCGCTGGTTTTTTTTCTAATGGCTCGCAGAGGAGAATTATATATATAGATTATATAGCGGTCTAAAATGCTCAATAAAATGTTTCCATTGATCAATTTAGTAATAATAACAATTGAATATTCTATGGTCATCCAAAAGAAAGCTTCCCTGAAAATTTCAGCGCGCTAGCTAACTGGGAAGTGCCAGAAATTTCGATCGCAAGATTTGATTGGAAAGACAAACAAACAGAGAAAGCAAGTTAAAGAAAACGTGGGAAAAATATATACTTTTAACAGTGTACGCCCCCCCCCCCCCCCGAATTTCTTCCAATACCAATAAGTATTACAAGTCAGCATAGTTATTTGACTTCGACTTCAGCCTGCTT